CCCCGATAAACTTGAACTACTTGTGCCACGAGTTTTTCTATTTAAACGTTAATATAAATATCAAAATTAACTGTAATTGCGCTAAACATAGGACTGTTTTATGTGGCAAAAAGGTCGTACAGTATAGCGTGTATAGCAGTACTTTCAATAATGTACCGGCAGTTTGAATAGTGTACAGCTGTTTTATATATAGTAAATCACCATGGCATTGAGAATAAAATATACATGCACTTTATAAACGTGTATAGTGTACGGGTGAGTTTGAAAAAATTAATGATTATAGCCAACATTAATATAGCAAAAGTACATGTATATTTATTTGTTATTGCATTAATAATATTCTGTACGCCAGTACCCATAGTGTACCGTATATTCTGGTATATTAATGACTTACAGTGCGCTCATAATAACGAGTGTATAGTGTAATGGAGGGGAACTGTAGTGTACGGGAAACGGGTGTTTAAAGTGCACACAGTTTTTGGAGAATTTCCAGAAAGCAAATCACGTTTTTCTAGTGATTATACAGTATTTTCTGAGATAACCTAACAGTGACTACAAGTTTCCTACAGTATTTGCCTACCAGTGCTGGCATAGGAATTAAAAAACGAGGCACCGGTAGTCTATTTGTATAGCTGTTCCGTGAATGTGTGCGACAAGGGTACGGGTGATGTAATACACCTCTTATGATGGGATACGTCACACGCCGTGTCCTTTAGAGGTGTCCCACAAAAAAAAGTTTTACGACTTTTCTTGTAGTCATTTAAATGTTTAGGCATTTAATCGTAACATTGAATTGAATATCGCGTTAAAAAACTCGTTATTTTCCATTCGCTATCATATGATATGAATTATTAGACATCTGTTTGCGTGTATGTGTGTTATAGACATCGCATATAAAGTTGATATTAAATTCATTTAGTAATCAGTTTATATTTGATTTCATAAAAATAAGTTTTTTTTATCAAACATTTTACGTGTCATTGAATTGTGTTTGAAATTTAAGCCAAACTTCTCGTGAGTTTTGTATTATACTAACCGTTAGATTCTTGTAAACAGTTTTGAAAATCTAATACTTTTTGTTGACTTATATTTTATGCCGATTTCTGTGGATCTAATCAGTGATAACGATGAATGGTATACAAAATGGACAGAAGTTCGCACCGGTATCTCATGTGGTGTTTGACATGGACGGCCTATTATTAGGTATGGATTTTTTGAAGCATTGATTGACTTTTAAAAAGTAAATTGTATTGAAAAGTACGTAAGTTTTGCACTGAATAGAGAATACTTGCCATAAAATCAATAAATACTACCTGTGCTAATGGCCAGGGATGTGAATAATATTCAGTACAATTTAAAATTTAAAATTTATAGCTAATGGTATATAAAAATAATTTATAAAAGTCTTAATTAACAATTTATTTATATATTATATCTACAGATACAGAACCCCGGTATGAAAAGGCTATCAGTACAGTAACTGAACGCTATGGCAAACCATATAAACTTGAACTAAAAGGTATGGCATCTAAAAGTTAAATGTGTTTTAAAATAAATTTTTTAAAACAAATTTAAATTCATTCATTAGTTTATAATTTCAATAAGAAATTTATGAAAAACTGTTTCATGTATTAAACATACGGTATATTTGTTAGATATTTGCCTACCGGTGCTACTATACAGTAATCTATTAGATATTAATAGATTTATAAATAGACATGATATTGAATTATCATAATTTAATTCACTATAACAGAGTTCATAAAACAGTTATCAATACAGAAATACTAGATTCCCTTGACATTAGATTTCTATCTAAAAGTCAATTCACATTTTATTCATGAGATGCCGTTCCCCTTATAAATACTGAAGTCATTGAGGGAATGCCTATTATGAAGTTTACAGAATACTAACTGTAATATAGAAGTAGTAGTACAGTAGTACAGAATATTCATATAAATGGATAAATGTCAAAATAATAATTTTTGATTTAACTTTAAGATTAGAAAACAATTTCTATTAAAAGCACTAAAAGTTTTTATAATTACTTTTCTATAAGTTAATTAAAAACTAAATATTTTTAAGTGTATAATAGCATTTAAAAGTGCAAATATTATACTTATAATGGGTTTTAAATTCTTACAAAAACTATTTTAAAGTAACATTTTTTAGTCAAATATTACTTTATAATTAACTTTCATTAAAAACACAAACAAATTAGAGTTAAAAATTAATTTCATTATTATATGGACAGTACGAGTGATCGGTACTACAGGCCGGGACTCGGCTAACCTCATATGCAAGGAACTGGAGCTCCCGATCACACCGGACCAGTACATCGAGGAGTTGGACAGGGAGTACCTGAAGGTGTTTGACA